TGAAATGAGGACCCAGACTGTGGGGGCAAGTTGCTGACTCATTTGCTAAAAAAATTGTAAACCGCTTAGAGAGGGCTGAAAGCCCTATGAAGTGGTATATAAGTCTAATAAATAAATAATAAATAAGAAAGAGGCTCATGTTGTTTGCCATCTTTGGGATACCACTAGGTTGGGGAGTGGTGTTTTGCCTGGCCAGAGGGGGGAGTTGCCAGGCGGTTGCTTCCTTGCGAGCGGGCTCTCGAAGAGCCGGGCACAGCCTCAGGGGTGAAGCAGCCATGAGGTGACCACGCTTATGAGCAGCCGCCGGGCAAACCCCCTCTCCAGCCGGGCAGAGCTCCATGAGCTGACCTAGGGGGTATCCCGAATGTGCCAAGTTGCAGAAGCTGGGGAGTGGGCAGAGCGCCACATGGCTTGGTACCTTAGGGGCTTTCTGGACTGTAGTTACGGATAAACTAAGTTCTTAGCCAGGGCACAGAGGTGAAGGCAAGGGAAGAAACGAGAGGGGGGGGGGAATGGATCTCATTTCTTTTTGTCACCGTTGTTACTCCCAAATCGGAGAACCAAGGACAGTGTTTTTCATGCGTCCTCTTGGGAAACAATAATGCCTCCTGATGATGTCGTGTCACTTTCAGATGGCTCTGGAGGAAAGAAAATGAAATAAAACTTTTTCTAAGGGTTCAACAGCTGACAGCTGGCAGGAACCTCTCTAGAATAAACAGAACATTTTCAAATCCTTCTGATCTTCTTGATAACTGTCTAGAATCACACTGGTTGAGGTTTTCTTTTTGCTTTTTATAAAAGAAATGGACCAAAAGGTGACTCTTAAATTTTATAAATCCATAAATGTGATTATGCACACACCCGCGATGGAGTCTGGCACCTCATGTTCCAATCTTTAAAAGAAAAAGAAAAACGGGACTGAACATAGCATCTCATACGCTTCTCTCTTGAATGCATGTGACAGATAACTTGTCAAGTATCAAATTTCTCCATTATTGCCTTTGTGCTGGGAATGCGATATACCATTACGCTGACAGAAAATAACAGCAGACATTAAATGTGCGACAGTGGGCTTCTGCGCTGCGAAGATGGGCTTCACGTATATGTGTCCTAATCTTTCGTGATGCCAGATTCGAGAAAATTGATTTCCAGATTAAAACAAACCAAACAACAACAAAAAACAGTCGGCAATATTTTGGGGCAGAGCCCTACCTGTTTCAGCAGCCTGGCTGACAAACTCTTGCCTTGATGGAGCTACTGTCATCTGGCAATAGGTTGGTTCCCCTCATACATATGTGCTGGTTGTTTCCGACTCTAGGGGGCAGTGCTCATCTCCTTTTCAAAACCAAAGAGCCAGTGCTGTTCAAAGACGTCTCCGTGGTCATGTGGCCAGCATGACTAAATGCCAAAGGCATACAGAACTCTGTTACCTTCCCACCAAAGGTGGCCCCCATTTTCCTTCCTGCCTTTCTACATGCTTTCAAACTTCTAGGTTGGCAGAAGCTGGGAGAAGTAACGAGAGCTCACTCCGTTACACAGCACTAGGGATTCAAACTGCCAAACTGCCGACCTTTCTGATCGACAAGCTCACCGTCTTAGCCATTGAAGCAGTGATGGGATTCAAATAATTTAACAACAGTTATCTGCCCTAATGACCAGCTGGGTAGGTGTGGCTCGGTGGTCATGTGATTGGGTGGGTGTGGCCAACTCAACATCACTCACATCGATGGGCACTTCGCTTAGCTGTTACAATGTAATAAGGGTTAACTAGAGAGGCAGTTTCTGTAAGCAGGGCAATAAAGATTAGGCTGGAAACAACACCAGAATGTTTCCTTCCTGCCTTCCTTACAGGATTAGCCCTGTAAAGTGGGGAAAAAAAACAAAATGAGATTTCTTCCAACAACTGCTTAGAAAGTTAACAATCGGTTCTCCCGAATAGGTGCGAACCAGCTGAATCCCACCACTGCATTGAAGCCTTCCTTGCAATAAGCAACATCTTGGAAAACTATACCACATTGTGGATTTAAAAGGTGGGGGAGAGAGAATGACAAACATCTCGAGGAAAAGAAGGGATGTAATGTAGCCTTTCACATATCCAATGTCAGGATTCCAAATAAGATCCTCAAATAAATAACAACCCAAGGCTAGAAATTCCTCAAAGTTCTAATTCATTAGAAGAGACATGTTGGCCCAACTGAGAAAATACGAATCTGAAGCTTCCAGGTATTCCCCACACAGTTTCTCCTAACCTGCCCCCAACACTCACAAACCCATCACATGGTCCAATCAATCATTGCCAGGAGGGAAGATTTTTCCCATACACATCTGTCCAGGTGCAAAGACAAAGCAACCCTGCCTTTCAGAGAAGGAATGTTATTTTGGCTACATATCTCCCATGGACCATACCATCCCTCCCTCCCAATTTCCCACAGTAGAATATGTTTGGATAGGAGGCTTGAGGCCCTATACATAGATGGCTTCCAAGCCTGACATCCCTTTGGTAAACTCATAGTAAGGTAAAGGTTTTCCTATCAGCCACGTTCGACTCAATGGCACGGTGCTCATCTCCGTTTCTTTGGCCGAGGAAGCCAGCATTGTATGAAGACAATTTCCATGACAATGTGGCCAACATGACTCTATATCAAGTTGCATGGAACGCTGTTAACTTCCCACCGAGGGGGTACCTATTCATCTACTTGCATTTGCATGCTTCTGAACAGCCAGGCGGCAGGAGTTGGAGGAAGTGACGGGAGCTCGCCCCATCAAGTGGCACTTGGGTCTTGAACCCAGGCTGCCAGCTGACAAGCTCGGCGTCCTTAACCCCAGAGCTATCGTGCCCCCCCCCCAAAAAAACCCTAGTATCTTCACCTAATTTCCTCCTTTTCTCTCTGACTTCGCTGGATATCTCAGCACCCCTCTGCATTTCGTCCTTGTCACGGAGACACAGAATCCAGATGAAGCTGTAAAAGCGACTGTCAGTTTTGCTTTGGCAGATGCTGGCCTAAAGCTGATGCCTTGGAGAACTGCAGCTGACCCTCAGCAGCAAGGCAAAACCTTGAGCTTCTCGGCAAGAAAATGAAATTATTGCATAGTGGTATGTTGCTCAGAGCTGCTTTCTGTGAGATCGGAGGCCATATGAATTTGATAAATAAATGCAAAAGATGAAAAGAAGTGTGTGTGTATGTGTGTGTGTGTGTATGTGTGTGTGTGTGTGTGTGTGACACAGAGAGAGGGGGGAATAGGCTAGGCTAGGCTAGGCTAGAGTAGGAGTAGGAGTAGGGATAGGGGTAGGGATAGGGATAGGGGTAGGGATAGGGGTAGGGATAGGGGTAGGGATAGGGGTAGGGATAGGGGTAGGGGTAGGGGTAGGGATAGGGGTAGGGGTAGGGGTAGGGGTAGGGATAGGGGTAGGGATAGGAGTAGGGATAGGGGTAGGGGTAGGGGTAGGGATAGGGGTAGGGGTNTAGGTTTAGATTTACGCGTTAATTTTAAGTTTACCGCTCACAGCGTGCTGTTTTTGTCGCGCTGTGATGACGTCATGTACGCGCTTTCGTCAAGCGCGCTTTAGTCTACCGCGGTTTTGTGGTGGAACCGATTTCTGATGCATTCTGAATATAAGTATGAAGCTTGAGCTTAATGAAGGTCATCTAAAATCCCCATTTTCCCTCAGGGTCTCATGTAGCACTGAAGTAAATCAACCGCTATCACTGATTAAGAGTCACTGTCACGCAATCAGCTCCATCTGAGAGAGAACGTTTTAAAAAAATTGTGCGTAATGGGTAAAATTCATTGGAGACTTTCCCATAAGTAGAAATGCTTTTTTTTTTCATAGAATGTGGAATTCTTCCCAACAACTTATATCCCTCAGAATCTTCTTCTAGATTCAGAGAAGATTTTATAGGGTTGTTGTGGCTGAAAGGATATCTCTTCAGAGTAAACAATTAGCTCTACTTCCCAAGCAATGCAATATCCCACTCTATGAAGAATGTTGCATTAAGCAACCCTAGATTTTCTACAAAAGACGCTATATGCTTTAGGGTGCTTTCCGGTTAGTAACAAAAACATACATGCCATTTTTGACTATTACTCACTTGTAGCCCAGATTTCCTGTAAAGGAATGTATTTTAATAGCAGTTTTTTTTTTCATACGAATTTCTTGAGAAAGCGGATCTCTGTAGAATAGCGGCACAAAAATAAAAAAATGAAAGATCATATGTGGAAAAAGAAGTTTTCACCAGAAGCGTGGCAACCAAATTCAAACCAGAGCTTTATTTATTCTGGCGTCAGATTTCCATTCAATCTGAAACAGCCATTCCAAGCAATTGATTTGTGCTAAATTGGTATCGTAGTCTTGCTGTTTGGAATGCTTTTTTCAGATTATGACATTGTCTGTAAACTCGTATCAACTAATACTATCAATATCAGCTTTTAGGGAGAGATAAAAAATCGAAGTAATCATAAAAAAGGCAATTCTTTGTTAAATATGAGATGGCAACAAACTGAAACCAGTTATTTAATATTTAAACTGAAAATACTTATTTAACATTCATTTTTGCATTTCTCAGATAATTCATCCTAACCCAACTCTCCACCCATTTACCCAGCACACATGAAAACAATGGCATTTAGAAACACTGACTTTTCGGAAAAATAAAACAAATCTGATGAAATGTTTGGAAGTTTGAAAAATTCCAGATTTCCCGTGAAATAGGGATAATTAATGATCGACTAATAATTAAGAACAAATGCTGATTTTAAGCAAAGGGAGGGGGGAACACCAACCACATTTATTTTGCATGTAGTGCTTGCCCATCATGTTAAGTGCATGTGGATGTTATATTATAAGGACAAAAATCACATCATACAGCACAGTTTTTAAAGATTTGTTAGAAGAATGGTAATCAATTACATAGCCAGACTAACCAACTCATATCTTCCAGTCCCATCTATGTCAATAAATCTGGATAATAATTTATAATCATTGTATGTAAGTTTTATCACATACTTGTTTCAAAAGTGCTTATTTATAGTTAAGCGGTTGTGTCGTTTTTATAAAAGTAATGGACAGGAAGCCAAACAATTCTTCAAGTAATAACTATATAAAATAGTTCTAAAAGATTCTGAACTGTTTCTTGGGGACTCTGAACTGTTGTCTCTCTGGCATTAAATAGTTTACATTCCTTTTTTTAAAAAAAATCACGTATTATAGACCTACATGCCAGGTACAAAAATGTCCAGTAAATGCCTTCTCTGAAAAATCCAAATCCTTGTGGCAGATATGTATGGCATTTCATTTCAAACTTGCACACTACATTCTACAAATTAGAAACAGATCAGACCTCTCATAAGCGAGAATGTCCCTGATCTGTATTCCATGACAAGGATTTGGAAATTATTTTATTTATTTCTTCTTCATCCCCTCCCCCTCCCCATTCTCATTCCTCTTATTTGTCCTTCTGAAATTGGAATATAAAGGCCAAATGGAATATTGTTATTTTATTTGCGCTGAGCAGGAAAAAATGGAAAAAACAGGATTGAAAGGTAGTCTCCAGCAATGGCCAGAGGATGTTGGATGGAGTTTTATTTTTTTTGCAAAGAAATTCTAAAGGGGCTTTTCTCCCCTCAGTACACCTGGAAGGAGACTCTCTCCACAGCCATGGCTAAGAGGAAGGCCAATTGCCCCATATTATGTTACAGTAATACAACAAATCCTATCCTGAAAAGAGTACAGATAATGAACTGACACACTAGGATGTTGACACAGAAATTCGTATCTGTTGTGACGGGGACAGAAGAGGTAGTGAATCTAATTTTAATAAGGGCCTTCCCCAGAGGAAGTATGGTCAAACAGAAGTCAAATTAGTTGACTTCAGACTGTTTACATCCCAGGATGAACCAACATTTCAGTGATTTAAGCCCAACTTAATTTAGGCAGATTTTTTTTAAAAAAACAAAACACAAGAATAAGAACATTCTTAGAGCATATTAATAATTAAACCAACATGAACACAAATTAGTAATATTCTACATAATAATAAAGGTACTGACAGCTTGTTATCGTATTCCTAGTAATCAATTTAAGAGTAAGTCAAGTAGCTTTGTTACACCACAATGTACGTTTCCCAAGTTCAGTATTGTTAACAGTCATGGCTGTTGATGGTCGGAGTTGGGGGTTATGAACCAAACTCAATTGTTTCTTCAGTAATTTTCTTGAACTCATAGTTGCCTCTTCCATCCATGTGAAGATAAAACTGGGGAGACAAGAAAACAGTCAGCAAATTTGGATATTAAAGAGTGAAAAGTATGCATCTGTTTAGATAAGGCTCATTTAGAGGAATTCATCTTCAGACATCGCCCTTGGGGAAAAGAGCTCTGTAAAATGTGGACATTTGATCTCCATCTGCTGGCCATGATAATTCAACCAGTGGCCTAAGCCTTATCCTTCAAAAATGAATTCAATGCTTTTTATTACTGAAACCCATAAATTGCTAAATAATAATCCTGTATTTTTCAAATAGTCATTAAAGACAATGGGTATTAAAACAAGTGTTTTATATATAAAAAAAACTTAACTGCAACAAACTAATGACAAAAGTGACCTCTCTTAACTGTTAACAAAGTTTTCATTATATTTATGAGCAATCACAATGTGCAATATTAATACAGGAAAAACCAACAATCTTCTTTAATTATCCTTGAGATAAATGTACATGATTCAGAGGAGTGTAAAATTGGTTTTATTGTAATGGTTTATTATGACTTTATTCTTCCATTATTCTATTCTAATAAATAGATGTACTTTTAATTTTTTTTCCCAATATACTTTTTTATTTTCCATTTTCATAACATACAATCACATGTATACTATTACATAGCCAGTATCCTATTGTATTAAGTAGTAATTACATCAGTTCCTCTTGTCATCAATGCCCAGAAAGATAAAAACACGTTATTAGCTCTTCTGCTCTCCATAACCTCTTTCTTCTACCTCTCTCCTACCTCCTTTCTTC